AGCAACAGTGAGTAAAAAACGGAGTAAATGCGGTCTAGCATGACTAGCCTTAATTCGGCAAGGTAGTGATTTCTATACTTCCATTTAGTATTGGATCGCTTTGCAGGTTGTTCTGTTTCAAATTACGGTAAACAATATAAACAACGTGATCTGTAGAAATCGTAATAATTTGTACATGATTTGTCATCAGTATTATTTAAAAGAAGAAAATTCCTACTACCAGAAGAATAATATCAGATCAAAATTCTCTGAATTGGAAAGTTTACCAGTATAACTACTGTCTGCTCTCCTCCTCTATAGGGGAAAATGTAGGCCGTACGTAAGCCTAAATGACATCAAAATTCGAACATACTGAATGCCCACTAGGTTACCCACCCAGCTAGCGAACTAAACACAGTTTTAAAACATTATCGATTTAATAATAAGGTAGGATATAACAAAACAATAAAGTTCTAACATTGTTTATTTAGTAAATTGCAACATTGCTTACGTGTTGAAAGCTGGTAAACTATATTTTAATATTGTTTACGCATTGATTATCAGCCCGACGATCCAGCCTACGATCATTGCAAAGCTAATTAAAATAACAATGACCTTCGTAGTGGTTCGTAGTTACGTTCCAAACAGTACCTACGAGCAGGTACGAGTGGTTACGCGCAGATACGAAGCGATATTTCCTGCCTGTACTGTAAATTGAATGGAGATTTATGAAATAAATATAGTCAATAGATTACTTTTTCATACATTTGTTTTCTTGTCTGTACGTTTCCATTTATCTTGACTTTTCAACTTTCAAACATACAATTCAACAGTACTATATAACTATTATAGGGTAAACCAAGTAGTGAGACCAACAGAAAGTAAATAAACTTCGTAAAAGTTGGTCCCGCGGAGAAAAACCCTCAACAATACCCACTTAACTACAAATTACCATAAAATCATCATAAACAAAAGCATATATTGTGAATTGTAGAAAATAATTTTTACAGGAGACCTTAAATGAATAAGAACTACAGCTAGTAACTGAATCTGGCAATCCGTTCCACATTTCGGGACCATAATAAATAATGGTTTTCTGCCTTTAAAAGAGAGCCTGGTAAAGGGTGTGTGAAATTTATAAGCCTGTCTTGTGTTTTGTATTTGTGGACTTCGCGATTTTTCATAAATAGTTGGGAAATGCTTATCGGTGGATTTTGGTTAATAACAAGGTTAAACATAAAAAGCGAAACAATATATTTAAATAATAATTCAATTTTGAGAAATTTATGAAAAGAAAAATAGGGAGCTGTGTGGGTACATCGCAGAAGGCCAGACAGTGAAAGAATAGCACGTTTTTGAATCACAAGGATTTTCCGTATATATACCTGCGGGGCGTTACCCCATGCAATGAGACCATACAGTAGTTTAAATACGAAAGAATCAGGCTAGTGTAAGTTTAAGTACTGTACATCAACTGGAAATAGATTTCGTAGTTTGTGAATTATACCTGCATTACGAGAAATTGTTTTACAAAGAGATTTTATGTGCTCATTCCATGTGAGACGGTCATCAACGATTATCCAAGAAATTTGGTGTATTTAAACTGTGAGATTTTGATGTCATTAAACTTAATTACACCAGGTAATTCTTTAATTGAGTTACTAAACAACATGAATTTGGTCTGTATTCATAATACTCCTACCTAGCTTAACATGATTATTATCAAAATAGATAACACTCTTTACATAATGTTTGAAAAACAAAAGTAGATTTTACACTAAACTTGGGTATGGGCTAGCGAAATATCGGTACGGGCTAGCTACAATAATGGGTACGAGTCGGCCAATAATATAACAAAAGTTGGCATGATGGGCACGACGATTTAGCCTGTGTACCGTATGTATTCGAATCCCAGGCCTAGGCTAGCCTAGGTCAAAACATATCAGCTTTTATTTTTTCAAAAGACAAATCAATCCATAATAAAGGAAATATAGTCATCGAAAAAATACCAAATAGTTACAAACAATATTAACTATTTATGCTTACCATGTCTTCTGATAACTTTCGTCTTTGGTATTCCTGGGAAGTCGTCGATACTTTTCTCTTTCTTCTCTAGTCTTTAGCTTGTTAAACAGCGCCACCAACAGCATCTCTCTATGGATGTTTTTTTCTCGTGTTTCGCGCGCGTATTCTGTACCAGGGTGTGTGTACGTGTGGCTTTGATTTTTTATGGTACATTAAATGCATTTTGTACAAATATAACAAAATATATTTTTTCATGCATTACATTTAATATTTAATGGTACTGGTAAAGAATTGTATTATATAATGGTAGACAGTGGTATTATAATATAACATCAGAATTTAGGAAATCAAAGGTCATGACACGTATGCTGAGGCCTTTTGAGCTTCCAGTCTGTTTTTTTTTTCATTCTGGCTGTTCACCGGATGGTGAAAAAGTATTTAGGCCTAGGCCTAGTTGGTTTAATAAGGTTATCTTAAAATGGAAGACACTTTAGGATTATCGCTTTTAGCATTTGCAATGTTTGTAGGTTGTTATGTTGCAGGATCCATACCAATGGCATGTACTCTGTCGGAGGTAGGTAGGCTACGCCTGTCTCTCTGTTAAGTAAAAGAGGAGGGGGGGGGGGGGATAAGATGTGGGGGGGGGGGGGAGGCCGTACACCGCCGGCTCTAACTAGGATAGGCTAGGCCTAAGTATGAAATATGCAAGTGTAGCCTAAGGCCTAGGCCTAGCCTAAAGTAAGAAGATGCAAAGTAAGGCTTAGCTAAGCTAAATCTAAGCTCTGGCCTACCTAGCGGCACCTAGGCTACACTGATTCCAGTCAAGTCGTCCCTTTCAATCTTGCCCCTACAAACTCTCCCCTTGACAAACTTTCTCCAGACTCCTACAAACTTGCTCCTTAACAAAATTTCCCCCTACAAACTCTCCCCTTGACAAACTTTCTCCTACAAACTTGCTCCTTCTTAACAAACTTTCCCCCAACAAACTTGTCACTTAACAAACTCACCCCTAACACGTTTATGTTGAGTACTCTAAAGGGTCCATCAGTTGGGACAAAAAAACTCGCCCCTACAAACTCGCCCCCCCCCCCCAGGCTATACACAGTCAGCCCCTTCCCTACAAACTTGCCGCCTAACATGACTTATGGACTACTACTGCTAACTAGGCCTAGTTCTGCTAAGTGACATGTGGGAACATTGATGTTGATAATGTTTTTATTATGTTTCTTTCGTTAAGTTACTGTATATATAGTAATGACTAGCATGAAAAATATATAAATTTATCGCCGTGACTAGAGATTACGTCATGATTAGCCAATAGAAACGCTGATGCATGCGTGCGTCATTCAGTGCCCTGCTGCTGGAGTGTGTTTTAGCAACGATCGGAGAAGAAATTTTGTTCCTTCGCGGGTGTTGTTAACAAGCTGTGATTAATATTCTGTAGCCCTGGGCCCTATAGCAATTAAAAAGGATAGCAGTTTTGCTAGATTTGGCAACATCAAGCGAGAATAAACTATTTTAATAGTAGAAGCCATGCCTAGCTAGGCCTTAGCTACCCCTGCTTTGGCTGAAACCTGTGAGTGAAGTCGGAGGGCCTAGCTAGAGTAATGCCAGCCTAACTCTATGCCTAACTATGCCAGGTAGGAAGGCCTGCCTGAACATCTCTAGGCCTAGGTCCGACCTTTCCTTGCTGTTACTGCCAGGCCCTCAAGCTATGTTGAAACCTGGCTAGGAATTTAATTTAATAGGAAGTTACAAAGGGGAAAAACTGATCGCCCAAAATGCCTCAGAGGTTACATTCGAGCGTCTGTCTAGAAAACAAATATTTCGCGGACATCCCCCCTTAACAAGGCGATGTTATTTCGATCGGCCCCATTTTCCCCTGTCGGACATCTCAAGATCGGACATCTCAGGGGCCCTGTCCATATACGGTAAATGAAATATTAAAGCTTAAACAAAGTTGAATAATTTTTTTTTTAATCGGAACTATAGACGAGAGGTGAACACACGCGTACACATTCACTGCCATATGGCATGTGTTTGCACCTAAAAATAGCCAGTCTAATTTTATCCTCTGACCTACTTCACTCTTTGCAGTAGTGCCCCCACAAGTCCCTGAAGACGGCGTACTGTACAAAGGATGTCTGCTTCGCCCTAAAGAGTACCGTGGGAACCTGTTTGTGGGCGTTTCTTTCCGATTTTTATAGAGTTTCCATGCAACAATAGGCCTTGTGAGTGAAATTTCCGGTTTAATTAATATAAAAAAAGCTTGAAACAGCCATTCACATTGTAGGCCTATAAATTTTATTTAAACTATACATTTTACTATTTCTTTTTATTCTATAAACATGCCTAATCAAAATATATATCGACAATGGAAATACAACAAACAAGAATATACAAAGTTACAAACCATGTGTCTGCTTCACCTCAACATAATTGTTGAAAATGTTCCTTTCCTCAAATTACCGTATACTGTAGTTAATAATTTCTTTAGTTAATTTCTATGCAATGAGTGATTTTGTCGGCCTTATGAATACAATAATATATTTGCTTTATTTTCATTATCACATCATTCAGTATATTTTAATTTATTTTATATTGGCCTATGTATTGTTATAAATAGAACACTTGGTAATGTAAATGGAGAAACAAAAAACAACTTATGACAAACTAATCCGCTAAATTAACTATAAGCCTACTTATTTTATAAATCTAAATTTTATTGAAGCATTTATAAACATGATCCAAATATATATCCTATGGAAACGATAAAAAGAAACGTGCCTCCAAACCAATCGTAAGAACATCATTTGATACTGCAATGAACTCTTTGATAATAATAGAAATAATTAATAACAATAATAATAATAAAATATTTCTAAAAAGAATTGTTAATATCTGATAATGTTGCAGTAATATAGCCTAAGTTTTTGTGTTTAACAAACGGTCTACTGCTTAGCCACCTTGTTCTATTAAATTATTATTCGCAGCCACACCTTCAGCGCTCCATGCACCGCTGCCGAAGTGCATGACAAAACTACCAACTCAGGGCCGAAACGACCCGATGCCGAATCTACTCAGGGCCGCAACGACTCTACACTTAGTAGTAGCACTACAGTAGGCCTAAGCCTAGCCTAGTAGTAGAACATTCTCTATGGTAGACCATAAAATATGCAAGAATAACAGAAAGGATTTTTAACCTAAACATTGCGATAAGCCCCAATTGAAATACATGAAATGGGCCAAAAGTTTTATGACTTGATTCTCATGATCGCGACGTCGACTTTGCAAAAAAAGCCAAAATCGAGTCGGTCATTTCTATTGGCTAATCATGACGTAATATCATTTACCATACCTTTAGCAATCGGAAGTTCCGATACGGTACTGTATCTCTAGCCACGGCGTAAATTTATTCCATATGGGGATAAATTTATATTCAATATTATATAATTTACCGACGGAAACAAAAAAAATTACAACATCCATTTACTGTATCCACATCACACTTAAGTTCTACTGAACTAGATTTACTTGTTTTTTGGTTTTTTTTTAAATTATTATTGATAAATGAATGGAGGCCTGTATAGGTCCGAAGACACTTAAGCTTAGGCCACCTGAACAAAAAAAAAAGAAAAGAAAAAAACGAGTAACAAATTTAAGGCTATAGTTTAAAAGATGATAATTAAATTTTTTTTAAATAGTTTCTTAACAGTACAATAAATACAGTAAATAAATAAGTATAATAAATTAAGTGAAACAAAATGGGAAGTTTCAATAATAAATAAAAAGAAGTTCTACGAAGTATGGATGCAGAGAGCATGGAATAAACAGCCTCCTTTGTATGTTGTGTTAGTGAAAAGAGGCTTATTTTTAGCTTATTATCACAATGATTCAATATCCTATTTAATGATTGAAATACAGTACGTACTCTAGCTAATTTAATTACATTTAATAAGAATGGTGAAATTATTTATTTACGAATGTCAAACCTCCCAGTCATAAACTGTTTACAAAAATTCATTCAACAAATTCGGGGATTCCCCATGTGCTATGACTTGCCGTCAATTTGATCGTGTGTTGTTCAATAATGGCTTTTTAAATAGAAAAAAAAACTCATTTGTTTTTACAAAAATTTGTTTGGTCAAGTTAATGTATTTTAATATGACTATAAACACTTGCACGTATGGAGAAGATTTGATTATTTTACACCCTGAATTCATAGTACTGTACATTCATTAATTTAATTTTAACTTGCCAACAAAAGGGCCTCTGCAAATCAGTGCCGTGATAAGCTGGGGCACCGCTGCTTGGGCTGGCTCTCATTTTGGTTGATGAAAGTTGAACTCACATTAATGTGCATGTAACCAGAATCGATAAATTTACGTAACCAATAATGCAAGTTTAATAAAGAATCACTGCGCATGCGTTAATTAGGACGCAAAATATCACATTTTTTTGTGTCACCTATGTACTGTATAAGCTGAACCTATTTTTAAGCTCCAAACCATTCTCAAAATGTTATTTTTAATGATTTTGAAACATTGACATTAGTTACAAGTGTTTTTTTTTTTTTTTGGCGTTATACAGTAATTTTGTCGATGATGACATCAGCGAGAGGAAATATTATTTGTAATACCATATTGACTCTCAGTAAAATTGACGTTCATAAAACAGATGTTTTACTGTACCTCTAATATTTTGTTAATTCATGTTGGTATTATTTTAACAATAACAGGGTAAAATGCGCTTTATTACTATTGTTGGTGCTGGACTTCTGGTGGGGACTTCCCTTGCTGTTATTATCCCTGAAGGAATACACACTATGTATGAGGATGTGGAAAGTGAGTATTACTGTATAATTTTAATGTTCATATAATTTTTTTAGTTGTTGCTGTACAATAATAAGATATTTAAGTGTCAGAGATAAACAAGTTTACCTATCAAGGTGCGCTTGTGCATGTATGCTTAATTTTAATGTATTCAATCTACTCTAAAGTGAAACTTGAACTTTAAATGTATACCTGTACATGTTAAATGTAATCATAGTGACTAGTTCTACAACAAGACAAAAACTGAAAATCACATCAGATGTGTTCTAAACAAGAACCATATTCAGCTTTGCCCAATTTTCTTGCTCTTTTTTCACTTTTCTCTGCTTTGACACGCTTTCAGGTATTTCAGTAGTAATTGGCATCTATTCAATATAGCTGTCAAACCAACAGTAGGAACATAATATTCTTATAATGACATTTAAATGCTTATCGGGCACTGTTGCTGAGTATTTACAATAACTAATTTTTACAAATTAATTGATGCCTACCATAGCATAAATTGAAAAACACTTTAATAGTCTTACCACAATTGCGAAATACTTTTGGAAAAAGAACTTTTAAATATCGCTCAATTAAATTATGTAACTCAATTATCAGACATTTGTAGCAATATTTCTTCCCTTTCCTTACAATCCTTTAAAAATCTAATTTAATTTACCCATTTGTTTTTCTTTTCTGTTTCTTGTATTTATGTAATTTATATACATTTTTTATGCATTTTCTTTTAATTATGTTTTGTAATGTAAAGTAATTTAAGATCATATCCTGCACCTCAGGGAAGATCAGAGTAACAATACTGACTGAGTATCCAAAATATAGAATATTTCTATCTAAACACATTGCTCCACAAAGCACACAATATTCTTAAACTGGATGTTGATACCCAAAATGTAGAAACTTGGGCAAATTCACTATACAGGAGAGCTTTAACTTGGCAATTACCATCCATAAAAATTATATATAATATATTTAACTGATTGTTTTAAAATTGTACCTTTGTAGAAAAAGTTGAGATTCATCATGTTGACGAAGCAGCTGATGCCCAAAAAGACCCACATGTAGCAGTTAATCCAGAAGAACATGTGCATGCCCACTCACAACATGAACAACTACACAGCACAGTGGGTGTCTCTCTTGTGCTTGGTTTTGTATTTATGTTGATTGTAGACCAATGTGCAGGAGGACATGGCCCATCACCAGGTATTTAACAAGCCACTTTAGGCAATCACTTTCAAACAGTCAATACACTCTCATTGTATAAATTGAACATATATTATCAGAAACAATAATAATTAATATTTTATAGGGGATGGAGATAAGATTAAAAGGGACAATATGACCGCAACTTTGGGACTAGTGGTTCATGCAGCAGCAGATGGGATAGCCATGGGGGCTGCTGCTTCTACATCTAGAGCAGATGTTGAGACAATTGTGTTCGTAGCTATAATGCTGCATAAGGTACTGTATGTCATGAATTGGTTTGTATTTTGACATTTGCTGAAATGGTAAAATAATGTCATTTTCTAGAATTTCAATTTTAAAATTATGTGCAATGTGTTTTTTGATAGGCTCCTGCTGCTTTTGGGTTGGTAACGTTTCTAATGCATGAAAAGTTTGAGCGGAGCAGAATACGCAAACATCTATTTGTATTTGCAATCGCAGCACCATTTACAACAATTTTAACATACTTTGGATTAAGTCAAGTAAGTTTTGATGAAGTTATTTATCATTCTCTAGTATTATTTAATTAGTGAGTTAAATAGCAACTTATTCCAACAGAAAATTATAATAAGTTAAATAGCAACTTATTCTAATTTTCTGTTGGAAGCTATTGTAATAACTATTTGTCCATTATTTTCAGAGGGGAGTTTCATTGAAAGAGGGCTATAACAGAGATCCCAAGTTTGAAAACCAAAAAATAGGGAGTTTTTTTTTCATGAAGCGATCGCCTCCTGTAGCGACGCACTGTGACACCTTACAACGCGCTGTGCAACATGAAAGTATTACACAAAATGAAGAAAACAAACAATTTTCATCAATTTGTTTACTCTTATTTAACAATTTTACATTTGTTTACACATTGCAGTTGGCCTATAAATTTATAAATATTAATATTTATTTAGCATTTTGCTAGTAAAGCGTTCTTGGCAGCAGTCAACAAGGCTTTGCTTGGTTCATTGACATGTTAGAGGCTATGGCTGATTTATTACATCTCATCAAAGAACATAGAATTCTAGCAAGCTGCAACTTGCAAGATTCACACGTTTGCTGAAAAATAAAAATATATATATATATTTTAATTTAGTTAGTAAATCATACTACATGTTTTAAGTCAGCATTTATATATGTCTAGCCTATAATTACTGGTACATAATGCCATGAAAAAACATTAAATCCTGCCTCGCTAGGCTCCATCTATACGTGCGTAACTAGGCCTAAGACCGCAGACTCACGACCACCACTACACACAGACGCCCACCCAACCCGACACACATACAGTACATACCCTGCAGTGCAGATAGAGCCTAGGCCTAAGCCCTACATGTATTTCGGGATCAATATTAAAATAAACTTCATTTTTCAGAAGACTGCTTAGTACCAAAACCTATTAAATATAATTTTTTTAGTATTGTTATTAAAGAACGGAAGCTTACTTGAAAGAAAAAGTATTTTTTATGCACCGATTCTGTTCCAAATCTTCGCGGCGAAAAATTGGGGCCCCATCCATTCCCATGTGATTTCTGATTTCGTTAATTTGTTGAAATTTATTTACTCAACTGACAGCCATCTCATTGAATGAGGTCGGCGCTGGATGCAAAAGATCGTAACATGGAGGATAAACAAGGAGGTTCTACCACGCCTGCCTTGCCCTGGAGTTGTTATTTTGATAAACAACTTAAATAATAACTCCCTGGCCTTGTTTTATGACATTTTATGGCTGAGCGAGCGCCATAGTATATTGGCTTAAGATAAGAATTTTTGTTTCATTGCTCTATGACATCGTGGAAATCACATTTTTCGTGAAATTTTTGGGATATTTTTAAAAATCGGGAGATATTAATGAAAATCGGGAGATATTAATGAAAATCGGGAGGGCGGAGACAGCCTAAAAAATCGGAAGAACCCCGCGATTTTCGTGAGACTTGGGATCTCTGCTATAAGTAAAAACTTGTTTACTTGGGGTGGATCTGACATTTCTATAAATTATTGTTAGACCATACCATTATTTCTAGAAGGGACCTACCTGTATAACTGTATAACTAAAAAAGGGATCTATAAGTCATAAGGATTGGATAAGCCTTTTAAATTCTGACCTCCTCTGATGTTTCTAAGCTTCCCCTGGCCCCATCTACTTTGAGCTATAAAATTCTAATTTATATTTGACATCCATTATGTTTTAACTTATAATATCTTATTTGAGTGGTAATAAATAACCAATTTGCAGTGCCTATTTGAAGTACATTATTTATTATTGGCACATAAAACTAGAAAAATAACAATAATAATTATCAACACAAAACAGTAACAATAAAAATAAAACAGTATAATTGTTAAAATGATATACAGTATTAACAATATTAATAATGATACAGTAACAATATAACAATATTAATACAAATAAAGCTATGATTAATTTACCAATATAAATGTATCAGTTCCATTGAATTTGAACAAAACAAAATGCCAGCAAAATGTACTACTCTTGGTGATGTGAGTTTGTGTGACTTATTGATTGGTTTATTTTGAAACTCCATGTTTTGTTAAACTGGGTGACTGTCCAATCTCATAACTAGTGATGACCTTCTTGTATAGTAATTAGGAATTCTTGGTAGTAGTAGTAGTAGTAACAACAATGAGGACGACGGTGGCAACGACAATGACGGAATTTATAAAACCTCAATTAAACTAACAAGGTGCATTATCAAAGGCGCTGTGCAAGTTAATGATGGAAAAGGTAAGTTTTAAGTAATTTTTAAGATGAAGCAACAGAAGAATGGAGTTGTACCATGTGCAAATCTTTGGCTGCAAATTCAGAGATCTTGGAATGTGAAAGGCGTGTAAAGCGTTACTGCGCAAAATGTCTGAAAATCAACTCAGCAGACTTTCATATTTTATGCTAGGCCAAACATGCACTGGTTCTGTAAAGAATGTGAAAAACCATCGCTTACTGCCATTACATCGGACTTTGAAATTGAAGAACGCTGTGAAATGTACTTTAAAACAATAATGGATCAGATAAACGTCATTGAAAATAGTTTTAAAGCTAAAGTATATAAAGCCCTACACAATGAGCTAAAATTCTATGTTTACCACATTAGAACGTAATATCCAAAGATTCTCACGAAGATAATAAAGATTTAGTAGATGAAGTGTTCAATACCATTGTCTTCAAAGATAAACCGATGTCTGTCTCATAGTGGATCCCATATACCAGATGCATATTCAAGTCTCGGTCTAATTAATGATTTGTAAGCAAGGTCTTTGATATGTCGGGAGCACGAATACAGATTGTGACGTACAAAACCCAGCATTCTACTTGCTTTATTGATAATTTGTTTAATATGTAGATTCCATCTTAGCTAACAATTTATAATTCCTAGATAGGTGTGATCCTTAGTTTCATTAAGCACAGTATTATTAATTAAATAATTATGTTTGTGTATATTTTTTGCATGAGTGATTCTCATGACACAGCATTTATTTGGGTTAACTTTCATCTGATTTGTCCTACCCCATGCAGTAAACGTATCAAGGTTCTTTTGCAAATCGCCAGCATCATGAGACCCAGTTATGACCCTATATATGATACAGTCATCTGCAAAGAGTCGGATATGTGAAGTAATATTTTTTGGTAGATCATTAATGTAAATCACAAAGCCCATAGGGCCAGTGACTGTCCCCTGCGGAACACCAGAAGTGACCTCAGCCCAATCTGAATATTTGCCCTCAATTACAACCCTTTGTTTACGTTTAGTAAGGAAAGATTCAATCCATTTCAAGATTTTCCCAACTATTCCGTATGTACGCATTTTCTGAAGAAGCTTCTGGTGCGGGACTTTGTCAAACGCCTTTTCAAAGTCTGTTATGATTGTTAAGTCAGATTTTGCTATATGTATTAACCCTCTAGATACCGTCTTCGACTGTAGTCGAAATTGACCTCAAACCGAGAATTCCCATTTTCGACTGCAATCGAAATTTAGTGACTAAAAAATAGGTGGTTTTCAAATCGCTCTTCTGTTTTTATTTTAGCTCCAATACGTCAGAAATTTTGAACACGCATGCGTGAAGCTTTTGTCTTTCGAAATCTGTGAAGAACTCACATGCGCTTATATAAATATTTTTAGAAATATCAATTTGAAATCGTTATTAATTTCAAAAATTTTTCGAAATGGCCGCACAAGTATGTACACAGCAGAGCAAGCGATTGACCTGATTTTTAATTCAGACAGCGATGAAGGTGAATTTTTAGATGTGCGAGACTTAGACGTGCCTGTTAGCGATGATGACGGTGGGGCTTCAAGCAGTTCTGACGGCGGAGATGTTCTTGATGAAGATGAGCCTAGGCCTAGAAATGTGAGGGTAGGCGACGATTTTGAATGGAAAGATCGCGCTTATAGTTATGGATGGTTGGGTAAATAAATTATATAACTGTGTGAAATAGGAATGTTTTATATTTGTTTTTATTTTTTTTTGGCTACAATTTATTTTTTTTTTCGGTTTTTGCTGACGATTTATATGTAGCATTTTTCTGTTATTTCTATTATATTATATTTATTATATTATATTATTTTATGAAAAAAAAAATCCCAAAAATATAAATTATACATCAAATGAAAGCTTATTCTATAAGCTTTCTTTGTTTTTTTAGAAACATTTTTCTGTATAATTTACAGAAAGTTCCCAAAAATCCACTAGAATGACGTATACTCAAAAAATGCAAAAAACCTTGTTACACTGCAAAAGAATCCGGTATTCAAGGGTTTGCACTACAAAAGAATATGGTAGTCCGGTATCCAGAGGGTTAACTGCCCCTGTTTGTAGAATAGGCCTGTGTTAAAGCATAGACCACAGATACTCTATGCAGACAACATGTTTGTGGTGATTGTAATTCTAGATTACAGACAGTGATCTTAGCTATCTTCCAACTATGCATTCAAGGTTTGCCATTCTCACTTAGCAACAAACTTTCTTATCACTTCTAACTCATTTATTAGCGGATCGTTAGATTATAAGCATAATTTATTTCTCAATAACCTTAATGACCAAATTGGTAACCATAAATTAGCAGAAATATTTGATAATTATTGTAAGGTATTTCTCGAAGGCGCATGGAAATTAAGATCTGAAATATATAAATCCATGGCCACATTACCACCCGTTACACTTTAATTAGTTTTTGTATTTCCCTTTATTCTGTTAATATGAACATTTATGATCAGTTAGTTCTAAGCTCTATATTTTGTTATAAATATCTTGTAATGTTAGTTGTCTGTTAGTTCTAGCTCCATATTAACTTGCAATTCATACAGCAACTCTGTAAATAATACGGTCCTGTAAGACTACCGGTACCATACCACATAGACCTACATGCTATGTTGATAAATTTTACTTTGTATATACATTTTAGTTTAACTTACTCCTAGTTTAAGTTTATTATTTTTCTCTTATATTTGGATGCACCGTTGGGTGTTGTCCAACGTGT